GAGTTGTGAAAATCTGGACATACATTACCCTGACTTTTTTTTTACTTTTTTCCAGACTTTCGCGTTTTTTCAGGCTTTTGCAGTTTGATGTCCAGTTTTTTGCAATCAAAATTTTGTATGTTCAGATTTGAGAGATCCATGGCGCGATTTTGCCATCTGCGGGGCAACGTTCGAGATTTTCTGTTTTGACTTTTCCGACGCAAATTCTTGGCGCGACTAGACAATTTGGGTCTGGAACCCGATGTGGCGCTACTTAAAAGATCAACGGCGAGACTTTCGCTACCCACGAAGTGCGCGGTCAATAACGTTGCGAACAAAAGTTTGGTCGCGCCGTCTCCACCATGGCCACGAAAAGCTCAACGGATTTTGTTGGTTGCTGAAGTCGGAAAAGGTTAAAAATTGGTTGCATCGGGTGGTTACGCCGGCGCAAGACGGGTCGTATCGGCCCTGCTTCTTCCATGGTCGCGCCGTCTTCATCTTGGCCGCTAAAGTTGCGACGAAACTTTTTGTTGTCGAAAGTCTGGAAATGGAAAAACTCGGATGCGAAAGTCTAGACATCAAAGATTGCGTCGCGAAAGTCTGGACAGGTCAGATTTTGGTCGCGAAAGTCTGTATATGCTAAAACTTGGTTACTTGGTTGCGAAAGTCTGGACATAAGTCGTTGATCTTGCCTCGGGATTTTTTTTAGATAGTCAACCAGGATTTAAGCGTTTAACTTTTTTCGATGTATATAAACATAGCTTTACTTTAAGTAGTCACATATTTAAAATGACTCATCTGTCGTCGTAACTAAAAGCTTGTTTGCGTTTTTTTGAAAGTACTAACTACAAAACAAAATTGAAACTCAGAGCAGTAAGCTTTATACAATTTAATGGCACAAAACTCGCAACAGCATTGATAGTTATAGTTTTACAGCAAGTTAGTCGTTACAGAATTGATTAGTGCAAAAAAATTCAATTTATTCACAACAAATCTTTCTCTAAATAAAAATCAATTTGTGGTCGATAAAACCAGATTACTTGTTGGTTCTGCCACCAAAAAAAAGGTTGTGCAGAAAACTGTAACAGAGTGGTCATCTGGATTTGTAAACAGAAAAAATATATATCATCACACAAGCATACCTGAAAGAGTACAACTTCCGAAAAATTGTTTGAAGCTGTTATTACGGATTAAAAAAATCTTTTTTCCAACAAGATTTTAAGACTTTCCACTGACAATACTTCTTAGCAATCTTTGTGGAGCATTATTTTTAAATATTTTTAACGCGAATTCGGCGGCAATTCACGAACAATGTTTGAATTTGAGTGGCGGATCGACAATATTAACAAATGGAGCCCCTCCGATAAAAAACGCAAGTGGCTTTTGATAGCTGGCGCAAGCAACCCACCAGATGGTGTGAAAGTTTCCAAGAGAAGACCACGGGAAGCCGCAGAAGCAGCCACAAGAAGATCAGGAAAATTTCTATATGGAAGTTTAATGGATCTGCTCAACATGGAGAGAGCGGTCGGAAACCAGCTCGAAAATACACTCAAGGACCTGGAAATGGAGAAATCCTACGTATCTTCTAAAATTGAAAAACTTTTTAATGGCTGTCTTCATGGCAACTTCAAACCAATGCTGTACTATACAAGACACGGGGAGACAGGAACTGGAAACTGGTGTTTTCACGACAAAACTGTAAGCATTGCTGAAATTTTCTCATGGTGTCCATCCGGAATGGAATACCCGACGATTTGCAGTGATACATGTTTTAGTGGAAAGTGGACTGATTTTGCATTTGAAAAACTAATACATCCAGTGTTTGTCTGCGTGCTCTGGAGACGAAACAGCTTTTGATACAGGTTATTAGTATCGTAGCGTGCTTTTTTTTGTATTTGTGAAAATTGTCGTGCAAACCTTAGAACTTAAGCAAAGTGGATAAAACGCCAGTGGCATATCCACATAGTCAGGATAATAATCATATCTGTCAATTTTTTAGAATGTTAAAGGCAGGTTTCACTATCTCTCCATATTTAAACTATTTCCCCGGGCTGACCAAAGATGCATGTCATACAATTCTCACAAATGGGAAACTTCTTTTCATACAATTCCATTTAATTCCATACGTACAGAAAATTGTACGAAATCTCTATAATAAACATTTCCCCATAAATAGAAATTGTATGATAGGCGTTTTTTCCGCAAGCCAAAAAGTTTCTTTTTGTTTCTTATTTTGATTTCTGAAATATTTTGGGTTCTGTTTGCAACCGAACACAAGTGACAAAGACCTTGGTAACTCAAAGCACCAAAGGCTGCACGGTCTTGTATTTACAATGCATAGAAAACGACCTGAGTTGTCTTCGAGCTGTCTTTCATAAATTATATAGCAAAGGTAATTTTTCGGAAATGTTTGCTTGCGTACCAAATTTGATTTGCGGTTGAAAAAAAAAAAGAAGCTTTTGGGGCAAATTTTCAAAATTACGAATATGGAATTTTTATGGTACGCATTTTCTCCATACACTTGATGTATGGAATCGTATGATAATAATTTTTGTTGTTGGACTTGTATGATAAGCATTTTCGGTGTATGGAGGTCAACCCGGTCAAGTAATATTTTTGCATGTTTAACGAAAGAGCCTTTAAGCTATATCGTATATTGCCATGGTTAAGAATTTAGTTTTTCGTTTTCTAGTTTGAACTCAGTGTTCATTACCATATTTACAGTTAGCAACCTATTAGTGAGATGGTATCAGGCTTACCCCAGGGGTTGCGAATTTTTCTTGTAATTATGAAAACCAAAACCTTTTTTTATTTTTTGAGATACGATTACTTTTGTGAATTTTTCCAGAAATTTTTAGAAAACTTAAATAAAAAAAAATTCCCAACGCTGTAGCTGAGTGCTTTCTAGGTACTCTCAGGGGTTGCGAATCTTGCTTCCAAATAGGACTGCTCAAATCCTTGTTATTTTTGAGATATGACGTTTTTTCTGATTTCGTTTTTGAGTTTTCAGGGAGCAGAGATTTAAAAAAAACTCTAAAAACTTGAAACTGCCAAGCCCGTAGTTGGGTAATGTGAGGGTAATCTCAGGATTTGCAAATGTTGCCTTCAAATGTGCAAAAATTGTTAAAGAAATTTTAGGTAAGCTTGAAAAATTCACAAAATTTGAAGTTCTTACCCTGAGCTGGTTGCTTTCAGGGTACTCTCAGGAGTTGTGAATCTTGCCTTCAAATATGACTTACCAAATCCTTGTACTGTTCGAGCTATGAGGTTTTTTATTCTTTGTTTTTGAATTTTTCAGAAATCGTAATTTTTAAAAAAAATTAATGATTTTAAATTCACAACCCAAGAGGTGGGTGCTTTCAGGGTACTCTCAGGAGTTGTGAATCTTGCCTTCAAATATGACTTACCAAATCCTTGTACTGTTCGAGCTATGAGGTTTTTTATTCTTTGTTTTTGAATTTCCAAACTCTATAAGGGGTTGCTGTTAGAGTAGCCTCAGGAGTTGCTAATTTGGCCTCCAACTATAACTGCTTAAGTCTTCGTAGTTTTCGCAAGATGATGTTTTTTCCGAATTTTTTTATTTTTAAAACAGTTTAGTAAAAATTAAATTTATAACCCTATATTTGGGTATTGTGAGGTTAATTTGAGGGATTATAACTTTGCGTTCAAATGCGACTGCTCAAATGCTTTGTTTTTTCTTAATTTTAAAAAATTTACCTTTAAAAAACTTCACAAAAAAGTTCCCAAGCTTATAGTAAGACAATTTTATTGTCAGGGCACTTTAAGATGTTGCAAAACAACTTGCCTCCAAAAATGAATGCTCAAATTTTTTGAGTTTCTGAGATATGACATTTGTTATGATTTTTTCAAAATTTTTGGGAAGCTTAGATTTAAAAAAAATTCCAACCCTGCGATTCAGGGCTGTTAGAGTTGACTCAGAGGTTGCAGATCTTATTTCCATTATATGCCGTTTCTTTGAGTTGCAAAAATTCGAAGCACCGGAGTTGCGTTACACGCTAGTAATAATAATCCCTTAAAATATCTAACCGATGTACAAACTCTTTTATAATTAGACAATAAGATTTTTTAATATGTATTTCGCAGTTGATCGACCATTTCCACACCACAAGTAATTTAGGTACTTTAATTTTGCCGCGATGCATACTATTGGTTTGGGAGCAATTTTGCATATGTTTTAACGTAATTTTTCCATTAGATTGAATATTAACATGGTGTCAGATTTGAAGTTCTGTTTAGAAGGAGGCTTCGGCGGCGAGCTAACCCTTTGCCTTGTGGGTCAAACAGGAAAACTAAAAGGAGGGAAGCCAGAAAGGACTCCCAATTCAGCGGCGAACTTGGATGCTATCCTGTCGACGGAAAGTACAAATACAAAGAACTAATTAGTTCTCAGCTTATGGCTAATCAAAGGAAGAGTCTCAGATCTCTTTCAGTTCATCAGAATCGCTTGTTTGGTATTTTTGACGCACGTCCTAAACTCAACGCAAAAAGTGCATCGTGGAAAAGCGGATCTTATGATTATGTTTCCAGTTGGATTCAAGCTAAGTTTGCTAAGAAAGAAAATTGGAAAATCTGCACTCTTAAAGCTGATTCAGAAACAGGAAAGTTTTATGTGCTTATGCTTAAAAGACACGGAAGTAACCAGAAAGCAGTCGTCATTATTGACAGTTTGGCTGGCTTTGAATTTGATGGACACAAAATTACGTCATGCACATCGTTTGACTCGAAGTGCTATC